AAAAAAAAAAAAAAAAAAAAAAAAAAGAAAGAAAGAAAGAAAAATTTGGGGGAAGAATGAATAACTGAAAAGCAAAGCAGAGAAAATTGAGGAAAAAATAATCAGTACAGTATCGTGGTTGGGGTAGAGCTCAGTGGAGGTTTGCTCCTCATAAGTGTGGCACCAAGTTTATGCAGAGTAAGGACATCAGCCCTAGCAGGACTTATTGTCCTCATGTTTCACGCTAGAAGAACAGTGAGAATACAATATGTCTAACTTAAACTTTATACTGCAGAATACAAAGTATTTGTACTAAGATAAAAAGAGTGAGAGGGAGAATTAGCTCTTTGTCAGAGCAGGGAGGCCATGTAAACAAGATAAAAAAAATTACATCTATTGAAGTAGATTCCAGGGAAAAGAAGAAAAAGAAATTGAAGAATTCAGCCTGGGTGGGAAGTTGGGCGGGAGAGGGGGAGTATGCCTGCAGGCCAGAAGAGGGCACCAGATATCATTACAGATGGTTGTGAGCCACCATGTGGTTGCTGGGAACTCAGGACCTCCACAAGAGCTCTTAACCTCTGAGCCATCTCTCCAGCCCCAACTTGTATTTTTTTAAATAAATCTTTTCTCTTACACTTTTTCTTACATTTGTGTGTGTGTGTGCACACACCTTTGATACCAGCACTCCGGGGGGGGGGGGGGGGGGGGGGGGGGGCGGGGGGGGGGGGGGCAGAGGCAAGCAGATCTCTGTGAGTGAGTTTGAGGATAGCCTTGGCCTACAGAGTGAGTTCCAGGACATCCAAAGCTACATAGAGAAATCCTGTGTTTGAAAAACCAAGACAGCCGGGCGGTGGTGGCGCACGCCTTTAATCCCAGCACTCGGGAGGCAGAGGCAGGCGGATCTGTGAGTTCGAGACCAGCCTGGTCTACAAGAGCTAGTTCCAGGACAGGCTCCAAAGCCACAGAGAAACCCTGTCTCAAAAAAAAAAAAAAAAAAAAACCAAAACAAACAAAAAAGAAAAGAAAAAAGATTTTTAATTTGTTTCTTGCTTTGTCTTATCATTTTTTAATTTATTTGTTTATTGTGTGCACAGTGTTCTGCTTGCATGACAGAGGGCACCAGATCTCATTATAGGTGGTTATGAGCCACCATGTAGTTGCTGGGAATTGAACTCATGGGAAGAACAGCCAGTGTTTTTAACTTCTGAGCCATCTCTCCAACCCCCTGTCTTATCATTTTTGAAGATTTATAACAAAAATATATTTTCTTTTTGTTATTTGATTTTATAAATAACCCTTGACTAATCAGCATTTTCTTAGATAGTGGTGTTTTTTAGTGTTGAGGCTTGAACCCAGGTTTTTTTTGTTTGTTTTTTGTTTTTTCAAGACAGGGTTTCTCTGTAGCTTTGGAGTCTGTCCTAGAACTAGCTCTGGTAAACCAGGCTGACCTTTAATTCACAGAGACCCGCCTGCCTCTGCCTCCAGAGTTCTGTGATGAAAGGTGTGCGCCACCAAGTCCGGCAGCTTGAACCCAGGTACTCATAAGGCAAGTGCCTTCCCACCGAACCTGGCCCTGATAAGTGTGAACTTAGTTTATTTTTTCATCTTTATTTAGAAAGTATTATACACGAGTGCAATTTTTTGTTGTTTTTCAAGATGGGTTTTTCTATATAGCCCTTGCTGATCTGGAACTCACTATGTAGATCAGGCTGGCCTCCAAGTCACAGAAATCTCTCCGTCTTTACCTCCTGAGTTCTGGGATTGAAGGCGTGTGCCACCACTGCCTGGCTCTTTTTTTTTTTTCAAGACAGGGTTTCTCTGTAACCTTGGCTGTCCTGGAACTCACTCTGTAGTCCAGGCTGAACTCAAACTCTCAGAAATCCACCTGCCTCTGCCTCCCCTGCCCGGCATTGTTTTTTAAAATATTTTTTAAAAGCCTCTAAATCACATTTTTGGTGTGTGTTTGTGTGTGTGTGTGTGTGGGGGGAGCTCGAGCATATATATCTCATTATGAGTGGAGGTCGGCAGACAATCTGAGGAGTTGGTTCTCTTCTTTCACGATGTAGGTTTCTATAGACAAATGAGGTCTTCAGACTTGGCAGCAGATGCCTTTACCTGGTGAGTCATCTCATTGTCCTCTTTAAAACATTTGGCTAAGCCGGGCGGTGGTGGCGCACGCCTTTAATCCCAGCACTTGGGAGGCAGAGGCTGGCGGATCTCTGTGAGTTCGAGACTAGCTTGGTCTACAAGAGCTAGTTCCAGGACAGGCTCCAAAGCCACAGAGAAACCCTGTCTCGAAAAACCATTAAAAAAAAAATTTGGCTAGATTTAAGGAAAGTATATCCCTTAGCAGCAGTGCTAAAAACAATATTTTTTTATTGTAATAAATAATCTGTTGCTTGATAAATAAGTTTGGGTTTTTGTTTTTTAAGGATTTATGTTTTAAAGATTTATTTATTTTGTGTGCATTGGTGTTTTGGTTACATGTATGTCTGTGTGAAGGTGTTGGATTCCTTAGAACTAGAGTTATAGAGAATTGTGAGCTGCCATGTGGGTGTTAGAAATTGAACCCAGGTCTTCTAGAAGAACAACCAGGCTCTTAACCGCTGAACCATCCCTCCAGCCCCCCTTTAAGGATTTTTATCTTAAGTAATATTATGACTGTATGTGTGTATGTACATATAAGTGTGGGTGCTTTCAGGGTGTGGGTGCCCATGGATATGGATCTATTTGAGCTAAAATTATAAACTGGGAACAGATCCTCTGCAAGAGCAGAATACTCCCTTAACCCTCTCTCCAACACCGATGATGACGGTATTTTCCTTGTTTTTAGTTGCTGTTTTGTTTTGTTTGTTTTTCTTTTTTGAGACTGTGTCTCACTATTTATACCAAGCTAGCCTGGAACTTGAAAAGATCCTTATGCCTCTGCCTCCTGAGTGCAGCGATTAACAGCTTGTGCTGCTCTGACTGACCAGGAAATGTATCTTTTCAGTACTCTCTGAAAGTCTTTTAAAACACTGTCTTTTTAAATACTGTTTAGGAGTATCTGATTTTAATCTTCGAGTTGCATTGCAAACACTTCTGAAAGAATATTGTGAGGTCTGCAAGTCTCCCAAAGAGAACAAGTTTTGTAGTTTTCTGCAGACATCCAAAGTTCGACCTCGGAAGAAAGCAAGAAAATACCTGTATGCAGTAGGTAAGAAACTCTGAAAAATAATAGAAATTATTTTAGGATAAGAGCTTTTTAATAGTTTGTTGTTATTACTATGTAGTTATTACTCATATGTAAATCTATCAGAAACATTTCATGTTTAGGCTTAAGGTTAGTAAATTAAATTTGCATAATAGCATGAACACATTTAGAACTTAATAGTTTCTCATTCAACATTTCATTTGATGTTCTAAATCTTTGGTCTCTGATTACCTAGTTACCATCAAATGACTGTCTACAGATTTATGTATTTACTGTGTGTGTGCACATATGTGCATCATGGTATGTGAGTGGATATGAAATGACACCTTATGAGAATTGGTTTTCTCATTCTACTTTGTAGGGGCTGAATTCAGGTCACCAGGCTGCACAGCCATTTGCTTTTACCTGCTGAGTTACCTCACCAACAAAAGAAATATTTCTGTAAAAGTTAAAATTTTGCCAGGTATAATGCATGCAATTCCAGCATTCTGAGGCTGAGGCAGGAGTGTAGTAAAGTGAAAGCCAGCTTGGGTTACATAATGACTTCTCGGTCAACCTAGGCTACAGTATGATACTATCTTTAAAAAAAAAAAGTTAATAAGCTGGTGGTGGCGTATGCCTTTAATTCCCAGCATTTGGGAGGCAGAAGTAGGCAGATGTCTGTGAGTTTGAGGCCAGCCTGGTCTACAAAGCGAGTTCTAGGACAGCCAGGACTGTTACACAGAGAAACCCTATCTCAAAAAACAAAAACAAGCAAACCAAAAAACCTAAATAAGTGAATTGATTAAATTTTGTTTGTTTGTTTGTTTGTTTTTTTGGTTGATTTTCAAGGCACTGTTTCTCTGTAGCTTTGGAGCCTGTCCTGGAACTAGCTCTTGTAGACCAGGTTGACCTCGAACTCACAGAGATCTGCCTTCCTCTGCCTCCCAAGTACTGGGATTAAAGGCGTGTGCCACCACCGCCCCTATTTTTAATTTTTTAATTGAGACATATAAAAGTCATAATGAGACTTTATACTTAGACAAAGAATATTGCCTAGATGTATATTTTATATAGCCTTCTATTATAACTGAGATCATATGGTAAAACATTGAGGTTAACTTTCTTATTGCATGTAAGCCAGGACGCGGCATAATTAAGAGTTACATATTTTATATACTATTTTAATAGAGGTGACAAGCTGTAAGTTGTATAAATTTTTAGATATAGGGGCCTGAATATTTTTATTACTTCTGTTTTCATATTGAGCATAAGTGGTTTGCTGTGTATTTTTTCATTTTCTGCTTAGGTGGATATACACGCTTGCAGGGGGGCCGTTGGAGTGATAGCAGAGCCCTCAGCTGTGTAGAACGCTTTGATACGTTTAGTCAGTACTGGACCACTGTATCTTCACTCCACCAGGCTCGATGTGGACTTGGAGTAGCCGTTTTGGGAGGGATGGTCTATGCTATTGGAGGTAACAATAAAAATATCTCATTTCTCTCATTAATCTACTTGGCTATGTACTTTGTACATGTACTTTGATCATCTTAACTATTTTTTGTTTCCTCCCCCTCTTCATTAGGTGTTTTTGTTTGTTTTGTTTTGCTTTGCTTTTTTGGTTTTCTGAGACAGGGTTTCTCTGTGGCTTTGGAGCCTGTCCTGGAACTAGCACTTGTAGACCAGGCTGGCCTCGAACTCATTAGGTGTTTTTAATGAAAAATTGTTTACTTTTAAAATATAACCATCTCTTTGAACTAGACCTATATGCCAGTATGTACTTCATATTTAACATGCCTCCCAAATCTGTACTTTCCTCCCATGATTTGCCATATTCTGGATGGTAATGATTTGCCTACAGGGTCAGAACAAAGCATTAAACATCCTTTTTTGTTCCTTCAGTACGGAATGATTGATCTTAGGCCCTCGTGTATGTAAGACGATCACTACCACTGAGCTAAAGCCCCGCAAACTTCAGTCATCAGTCTATAGCCAGGCCATTGGCATTTATGCCTGTATATCTGCTTCAACATTGTAATACCCAAATCTTGATTTTTTTTTTTTTTTTGCTTTTATCTGCTGTCTGCTCTTCCATTATGAATCTAATCATGTTATTGCCCTATTCTCTTTTTGTTGTTGTTTGTGTTTGAGGCAGGGTTTCCCTGTGTAGCCCTAGCTATCTTGGAACTAACTGTGTAGATCAGGCTGGTATTGCTCACAGAGATCCGCCTGCCTCGACTTCCCAAGTGCTGGGATTAAAGGCCTGTGCCACCACCCCTGTTATCCTACTCTCAACCCTAGAGTAGCTCCCGGTTTACTGCTGAAAATAAACTCCAGTTTTGGGGCTGAAGATATAGCTCAGGTGGTATGATGCTTGTTTAACATGCAGGAGGCCCAAATAAATCACAAATGGTAGTACTTGACTATAATCACAACATCAGGAGGTTGAGGTAGGAGGTCAGAAGTTCAAAGTCATTCTTAGCAGTACAGCTAGTTTGAGGTCAGCCAAGCCTACGTGGAACCCAGCTCAAAAAAAAAAAAAAAAAAAAAAAAAGAAAGAAAAAAGAGAAAATAGGGAAGGGCCAGCGAGATGGCTCGGCAGCTAAAAGAACTGGCTGCCCTTCCAGGGGACCCAGGTTCTGTTCCCAGCATCCACTTGGTCACTAACAACCTCCTGTAATTCTAGTTACAGAGGATCTGACACCTTCTTCTGGCCTCCACAGACACTGAACACATGTAGTACAACATGTTCACACAAGCAAAACACCCATATATATATAAAATGAAAATAAAATCTAAAAGAAAAGTCCAGGACTGGGTGTAGTGGTGCTTGCTTTTATTCCCAGCTCGTGTGAAGCAGATCTCTGGGTTGAAGGCCAGCCTTGTTGCCAGCTTGGTCTACAGCAAGGGCTACACAGAGAAACTCTGTCTCAAAACAAACAAGCAAAATAAAGAAAAAAGAAAGAAATAGAAAAATCTAGTTCTCATTATATACTTCATGGTTTATATATGATATTTTTGTTTTTCAAGAAAAATTTTCAGAGTTTCTGGACTTTTCCCTCACTTTCAATTAAAAGAAATAAACATGCTCACTAAAAACTGGATCTCAGGTAAATCTAAGACCACATCTTACCTAGTGAGTTCCAGGACAGCTAGGGTTACATAGAGAGACCCTGTTTCAAAGAAACAACAAAATTAAATAAATAGGCTGGGCATGGTGGCTCACGCCTTTAATCCCAGCACTAAGAAGGTAGAGGCAGGGTCTCTGGAGTTTGAGGCTGGCCTGGCCTACGTAGAGAGAGCCAGGATAGCCAGGACTAAATAGATCTTGTTTAAAAACAAAACAAATAACAAATAAATAAATACTGGATCTCAGGAGCTGAGAAGGAAAGCATGTGTTCAGCATAAATCATACTGTTTATCTTTTTTTCTTTTTCTTCTTTCTAATCATACTGTTTATAAACAGTTTAGGAGCAGCAAGCCACTCATTGTTTTGGGACATTTTTTTATATCACTGGTTTTCTGCCATATTTCCAGATTCCAGCCAACAGATTCCAGGGGTCAACTTTGCAAGTAGCTCTCTAAGAATGGGTAGTCTTAAACCTGTTGTGTTAATTCTAATCTGTCCAGATGTATGCTGGAGATAACCCTCTACTGCTTTAATTTTTTTTTCATAGAGGGTCTTGCTATGTATCCTTGGCTGACTTGTGTATTCCAGACTTGCCTCAATCTCCTTTTGTACCTGCGGGTGAACCTGCCTCCACCTTCCAAATGCTAGGGTCAAGGTGTTACATGGTGGTGGGGACCAGTCAAGTGCTTAGTGTTCTATCAGACAAGAGTTCTATCAGCAGGATTAGAGCCCAACCCTTCTACCCTACATTTTTTCTTCTTTTCATGATCCTTTTCTGATAAACAGATACTTTCAGATTTAGTGTAATCCTATCTATTTTTTCCCTCTTTTAAGTTCATCTATCTTAAGAAATGTTTATTCAAAACTCATGGTCTTATATACCTTTTTATTAAATAAAATTTTATTGTTTTATTGTTACATTTATGTATATAATAAACTTGAAATTGAATTTTTATGGATAATATGCAGTAAGGAAAGGGTTATTTTCTCTACATAAATAACCAGTTTTCATGGCTGGCATAAAAGACATACTCCCCCTCTTTCTGTACTAACTTTGACATTCCTGGAATGTCACATTTCTTTAGTTTTTTATCTGTCCCAATTTAATTACTTTCGCTCTATTAAAAACAATCTTAGTTTAGGGCCTGTGAGATGACTCAGCAGATAAGGGTGATTACCACCTCACTTAAGGACCTGAGTTTTTTGTGTGCTGGTTAATGTTTAGTCAACCTGACATAAGATAAAGTCATTGGGGAAGAAAGAATCTTTTTGTTTTGTTTTGTTTTGTTTTAAACAGGGTTTCTCTGTAGAGCTTTAGAGCCTGTCTTGGAACTTGGTCTGTAGACCAGGCTGGCCTTGAGCTCACAGAGCTCTGCCTGCCTCTGCCTCCCAAGTGCTGGGATTAAAGGCGCGTGCCACCACCACCAGTAGAAAGAATCTCAGTAGAGAAAATGCCCTCATTGTGTTGGCTTGCACTCTAGCTTGTTGGGTATTTTCTTAATTGATGGGTGATGTGGGAGGACCCATCATACTGTGGGCAGGTGATCCTGGGTGCTATAAGAAAGCAGGTTGAGCAAGCCATGATTAGCAAGCCAATAAGCAACATTCCCTCATGACTTCTGCATCAACTCCTGCCTCCAGGTTCCTGCATTGAGCTGCTGTGCTGACTTCCCTAAGTGATGAACTACAAACTGTAAAATGAACTAAATAAACCCTTTCCTCCCCATGTTGCTTATGGTCATGGTGTTTTATCATAGCAATAGAAACCCTACCTGTAACACTGTGTAACCCACATTGTTGACAGAGACAACCAAACCCTGCGAGTTGTCTTATTATCTTCATGTATATACACATTCCCACTCCTACCCTCCTAAAGAAAACAAAACAAAAAAATTAACATATGCCAGAGATGTTTTTCTCTCATAATTCTTTTCTGTTACGGTCGGACTGTTCTTGGTTGGTTGTACTTTGTCTTAGTGAGTTTCACTGTTGTGAAGAGACACAATGGCCATGACAATTTTTATAAAGGAAAGCATTTAATTGGGGCTGGCTTACATTGTCAGAGGTTTAGTCCATAATCAGCATGGTGGGACACATGAGGGCACACAGGCAGACATGGTGCTGGAGATGCTGAGATCTGTCTCCTCTGGCCACTGTGAGAGACACTGGCCTGGCTTGATCATTTAAAATCCCCAAGCCCCCCCATGACATACTTCCTCCAAAAGGCCACACCTCCTAATCCTTATCAAGTAGTCCCACTTCCCATTGACCAGGCATTCAAATATTTGAGCCTATCGGGACCATTCCTATTTAAACCACCACATACTTCTATGTCAATTTTTTCCACAATTTCTATATGCTTTTATTTAAATTTATATATGTCATGGTAAATCATAAAATGTAAATTATAACACATTGAAATTCAACTTTAAGAAATTTTCAAAGCAGTGGCAAACAAATTTTTTGGAGGGGTGGCTATACCAGTTTTGGAATTGCTTTTAAATACATTTTAAGAATTGGACTGAGCAAGACAGTAGTGGTGCATGTCTTTAATCCCAGCACTCAAGAGGCAGAAGCAGATAGATCTTTGTGAGTTCAAGGCCAGCTTGGTCTACAGAACTAGTTCCATGATAGCCAGGACTGTTATTTAGAGAAATCTTGTCTCAGAAAACCAAAAAAAATAAAATAAAATGTATATTAGTTTATGGATAATTATCATCTTTACATAAACTTTTTCCAATTGAGTTTTTAGGTTGATCCACAGTCATCTGTTTCATCATGGCATTTGGCTTCCTCCCCTACTGTCCTCTTCCTTCTCCTCCTTGCTGATCCTCCTCATCCCCAATAGTCCTCCCTTTTGCTTTTATTTCACCTGTATTCCATTACCCTTCATGACTTTTTCCCTTCTCACTGCTTAAGGTCTTTTTCTCCCTTTTGGAGTTATGCTGACATTTCTTAAAGGATTTATTTATGTTATTTTGTGTATATGAGTGTTTTGTTTACATATGTGCACCATATATGTGCAATGCCTGAGGAGGTCAAAAGAGGACTGATGCATTGGAATGGGATTATGGATGGTTTTGAGCCATCATGTGGGTGCTGGGAACTGAATCCTGGTCTTCTGCAAAAGCAGCACATGCTTTTAAATGCTGAGCCAACCCTCCAGTCCCCATCTATCTCTAACAGTTTATGAACATGACACACCTTCATTTTTCTAAATGTTCCTTATTTTAGAATTTTATCTAGTTCATTTTAAGAATTTTATTTTGAGACAGGGTCTCACTATGGGCTGTCTTTGCCTCTGCCTTCTGAGTATTGGGAATAAAACAGTGCACCACCATGCCCCAGTATATAAATTCTGTCAATTGGTACTTTTCTAATTTATGGTTAGATTTGTGGTGCTCATGTGCGTGCATGCGTGTGTTATGCAGATTGAACCTAAGGCTTCATGGATGAATACTAAGCATATCCCTTATTCCCAGCCAGTCCCCTGCTGTAGCGCACCATGCCCGTCTTCGCTCTATGCGCTACTATACAGTTCGTGAACCGGGCAAGGGGCTGGAGATGGAAACACACAAAGATGCACAGATAGAGACATGGGTCATTCTTGAAGCGAGAATGCCCCAAGAATGCCCCCTTTATTGTGTCCAGGGGCAGCTTATATAGGGATAGCCACGCCCCAGCCAAACCCACCAGAAATCACTCCCCTGCCGTCAGGAACTCCCGAGGGTCTCTTGTGTGTGTGCCCAGAGCAGATGCAGGCTGTCTCAGAGCAGAGAAAAACAAGTTGTTTACAAGAAATTCAGGATCTGGGGGTTCACTGCTCCCAGCACCCCACTTACTTTCATCTTTTGGTGTGTGTGAGGTTGCTACTGGGTTTTATTAGCTGCTTGCATGTACATAGGTACAGATTACTTACCAGAGTGTAGACTCAGTGCTTAAACTATGGAAGAAAATGACTTTCTCCTACCTACCCTAAACCATTAAGTATAGTGTATTTTAAAATTCTATTTTAAGAACATAGTTTCTTCCTCTTTTGGGTCTTGGCTCCAAGATGACGAAAAAAAAAGAAGAAATGACGGTCTTGCCAAAAAGGCCTGTGGCTGTGTACGGTCCATTCACTGCACAAACTGTGCCCATTGTGTGCCCCAGGACAAGGTCGTTAAGCAGTTCGACATTGGGAACAGTGCAGAGGCTGCTGCTGTGAGACACATGGGTGCAGGAAGTGTTTCTATGCCTATGTGCTTCCCAACTCTATGTCAAGCTGCATTACTGCATGAGCGGTGCTATTCATAGCAAGGTGGTCAGGAATCGATCTCGGGAAGCCTGGAAGGACCGAACACCCCCACCACGATCTAGGCCTGCTGCACCACGACCTCCACCAAAGCTCCTGGACAGAGGCGGCTTCATAAAGACAGAAGAAAAAGACACCTGGGAAAAATAAAATGGGACTTATACTAAAAAAAAAAAAAAATAGTTTCTTTAATTTTGTTGTTGCTACATTTGGATTATAATAACTTTAAATTGTGCCAGTTCGTAAACCTAAATTATTACCTGAAAAGAAATGGGAGTGTTAAAATGAAAATTGTTTTCTCAAAATTTACATGAATTGTTTAAGTGGTAGAGTTAGAAATAATTAGAAAGTCCTGTGCCTTTGTTCCATAAATTGTTGGGTTTTTTTTTTCTATTTTTGCTTTTTGAGGGGCCACTACCCAGCTCCTAAATAAATCTTACACAGATGCTTATTCTTAGTGATAAATGCCCGGCCTTAGCTTGGTTTGTTTCTTGTCCACTTTTTTTTTTTTAAATTATCCCGTCTAAATTTTGCCTCTGGACTTTTATCTTTCTAGCTTCTGTATATCTTACTTTCCTCCTTACTCCATGGCTGGCCTGGTGGCTGGCCCCTAGTTTCCTCCCCTTCTTCCTAATTTCTCCTTCTGTTTATACTGACTGCCAGCCACGCCTATCCTTGCTTCTGCCTTGCTATTGGCCATTCATCTCTTTATTAGACCATGAGGTGTTTTAGGCAGGCACAGTAACACAGCTTCACAGAGTTCAACAAATGCCGTGTAAACAAAAGTCACACACCTGAAAATAGTATTCCGCAACAGTGATGGTCTTTAATAAATGGCTGTGCTTTGAATTAAAAATATTGCTTGCTAGGCGAAGACTTTTGATGGCTGTTTTAAAATTAGACCTAATGGTTGATTTCTGAAAACAGAGAATGTTAATGCTGATGAATATTGTATTCTAATTCTATTCTTTTAGCGTCACTAAACCTGATGTGTCTGTTTCTTTTTTAATCAGGTGAAAAGGATTCAATGATTTTTGACTGTACTGAATGCTATGACCCAGTTACTAAACAATGGACAACTGTTGCTTCAATGAATCACCCCCGCTGTGGCTTGGGAGTATGTGTGTGCTACGGGGCTATCTATGCTTTGGGTAATTATGCTGTTTGATCTAAGAACAACTACAACTTTAGAGACGTTCCTTACTGGCATAAGAAATTTGCATCTAGATTTAGGGCTGGAAGAGTCAAGGTGTATCTCTGGTAGTTCAAGACCAGCCTGGTTTATGTAGTTAGTTCCAGGCCGTAGTGAGACCATGTCTTGGGGAGGGAAAAAAGTATATCTTTTTAGCTTTGTAAGTTTTTGTTTGTTTGTTTGTTTTGTTTTTTAAGACAAGATCTCACTTTGTAGCTCAGGCTGCCCTAGAAACACTGAACTTGCCATTCTCTTGCTTCTCCTTCTTGAGTGCTGTAACCATAACTAAGGTGTTGGCTGTGATACATGGAGAAGGGGCCATTACTCTGGAGCTGGCACTCTCGCGGAGTACTGCAAACACCCTACACAGCGAGTTCCAGGCCAGCCTGAGATACATAATACTGCTCTCAAAATACAAAACACTAGCGCCTAACGCTCAGAGGTCATTGCCAAAGAGGGGATGGAAAGAGTGTAGGTCAGGTTGCTGAGACTATCTTCTTTGAATGTCGGATACATCGTAATGTCTCACAAATGGCTGCTGACACATGAGCTGAAGAAGGGCAGCAGCAGAAGTGCTAACATGGATGCAGGGCAGCCCACAGGGCCTCAACTCTAACAAAGAATTACTGGCAACCAAGAGATGCTGAGAGAGGAGAAATAACCTCCCCCAGGGAAGAATACACCAATTGGTTATCCAATACCAAATGGTCAACCTTGAAAACATACATACAAGTAACATGTAGATTTAACAGGTTGTACTTATATATTTAGGAATATATATACATATATATAACTAATAAAAAAGAGGCCGTGAATTTAAAGAAATCAAGAAAGAGTATATAGGAGAGTTTGAAGGGAGGAAAGAGAAAGAAGAAATAATGTAAATATAATTTCAAAAAATAAAATAATAACTAACAAATAATAAAAAATTAACTTAAAAAAAAGCACAACACAAAAATAAATGGCGCAGAGGCAGGCAGATCTTTCTGCGTTCAAGGCCAGCCTGGTGTATATAGTGAGCTCTAGGCAGCGAGGGGTACACACTGATACCCTGTCTCAAACAAACCTGTAGAATATTTAGAAAAATGAGAAGCCTTTTTGAAGTCTCTAAATTCATACTAAATAAGCAATATACTGTGGTTTGACTTAGAATTGACCTTCATAAGTATTAACAATTTTGAAGGTATAGAAGTCATGTTAAAAACTAATTTGGAGGGGGCTGGAGAGATGGCTCAGTGGTTAAGAGCATTGTCTGCTCTTCCAAAGGTCCTGAGTTCGATTCCCAGCAACCACATTGTGGCTCACAACCATCTGTAATGGGGTCTGGTGCCCTCTTTTGGCCTGCAGGCATACACACAGATGGAATATTGTATACATAATAAATAAATATTTTAAAAAAATCTAATTTGGGTGAGCAGGGTGTGGTAGACCATGCCTGAACCGAGCACCCAGGAGGCAGAGACAGGCAGATCTCTGTGAGTTTAAGGCCAGTCTCGTCTACATAGTGAGTTCCAGGGCAGCTGGAGCTACATGGTGAGACCTTGTATTAAAAAAAAAAAATTAAAGTTAAAATAATAAGGAAAGAATGAATGAAAGAACAAAAGAAAAGAAAAAAATAGTTTTGGGGTCATATGTATTAGTGCATATCTTTTTTTTTTTTTTAAAGGTTTTTGGAGACAAGATTTCTCTGTATAGCACTGACTGTCCTACAACTTCCTTTGTAGATTAGGCTAGCCTTGAACTCATAGATATATACTTCTGCCTCTGCCTCCTAAATGCTGGGATTAAAAGTGTGAGCCACCATCTCATGGCTGTTATTTATATCTTTAATCCTAGCACTCTGGAGGCAGATGCAGGCAGGTCTCTGTGGGTTCCAGAATAGCCAGGGTTATGTAGTGAAAATTACAAAAATTAAAAAAAAAAATTTGGAAAATTCATGTTTCTCATACTATATTAAATTTTTCTGTTTGTTTTACTCTGTAATGAGCAAATCTGAACTTTACTTATGATTACATCCTGATTTTTCATGTCAGCTTGGATAGATAGATCACTCTGATTTCTGTGGACTTATCTGTAATATGAAATAGTTGGATTAGGTGGTTTCTAAAATCTTTGTCATAAATAAAATTCCTTTATCTCAGAAATGATTATTTTTTGTTTTGTTCCAGGTGGGTGGGTTGGAGCTGAGATTGGCAACACCATTGAACGATTTGATCCTGATGAAAATAAATGGGAAGTTGTTGGCAACATGGCTGTGCCTCGCTACTATTTTGGTTGCTGTGAAATGCAAGGTAATGCCTTTATAAGATACTTTTTCTGTTCAGTTACATTCAGCATTTACATTTGGTATATATATATATGTATGTATGTGTGTGTTGGCTTAGAATTGACCTTGATTAGTATAATAATTTTGAAAATACGGAAGTCATGTTAAAAAATAGATTTGGGCTGGGCTGTGGTGGCCCATGCCTTTTATCCCAGCACTCGGGAGGCAGAGGCAGGCGGATCTCTTGAGTTTGAGGCCAACCTGGTCTACAAGAGCTAGTTCCAGGACAGGCAACAAAGCAAGACAGAGAATGCCCCCCCCCCCAATAAAATAAAATAAAATAGTTTTGAGCCAGACCAGCCTGTCATCCAGGCCATGGGCGGGTAGCACTGCTATGATCAACAGGCATGTAGTTGGTAAATGGGAGAGAAGGAGAATCAGAGTGGATTGTCCAATGCGGAGAAAAGCAGAACTGAAGACACCAAGGTGGTGAGGAACAGGCTACTATGGCTGATGCTACCACTTGGGGTCCAGTCACGTCTGACCTGTGCTGCAGCAGCCCAAGGCCTTGCCTAGGTCTATGGCCCCAACCTCAGCTGGGATCTGTGTTGGTGTTCGTGACCCACGTTCCTGAGAAGGCCTACAGATACCTGTGGCCTTGGCCTGAGGCCATATTGATGTCCAAGGGCCATGTTGCCACTGGGGGCATACTAATCTGAATGACCTGTGCTGCCAGTCATGGCCATGGTGACTTCCAGGCCTGAGCTGCAGCAAGGGCTGGGTCCATGGCCCTACCATCCTTCCTTGGTCTGTGTTGATGTCTGAGGGTTTGTTACCACCAGGAACCATGGGAGAGCTGGCCCTGACCCTTCCTTGAGGAGTTGGTCCTGATGGAGGTTTGAACTGACTACCTCATCTACCACCCAGGCTCACATCCAAGGCTTTGAGTTAGTCCACCCCATCTCCTCTAAGATCTGCTAGAGCCTAGAGCGTGCACAGGGACAGGAGCTGCAGAACCATAGCCACAGGATCTCCATGACTCAGGGCAACAGCAAGATATCCAAAAGAGGTTTCGGTGAGGGTCCAGTGTTGATGGTGAACCAGAAGCTAATGGTCTTCAACTAGACCAACAACTCATTGCAATAAACATTTGCAAATAAAGCTGTTTGGGCAAAAGAATATACTGCTTAATACATTGTAGCTCTCAAGGCCACTAGAACAAATGAATATGTGATAGAGAGGAGGGAAATATGGAGAAATAGAAAATATTTTTATGTTGTGGGGGAGGCAGACTTAGAAGGACTGTTAAATGAGTGGGATTGGAGTGCATATTGTGAAATTCCCAAAAAATCAAAAGAAAATATGAGAAAAAAATAGTTTTGTGGAGCCAGGCATGGTGGTGCACACCTTTAGTCCCAGCACTTGGGGGCAGAGACAAACAGATCTCTGTATGTGTATATATATATGCATATGTATATATATGCATATATATACAAATATATATATATTTGTATAAAATTCTGTGTATAAAAATAGTTTGAGGGGCAGACAAGATGGCGCAGCAGTTAAAGGAGCTGACTGTAACCCACATGGTAGAAGGAGAAAACTACTTCCTGCAAATTGTCTACTGAGCTCCACACCTGGGCTACGGCATGTACACACAGGTACACATGAGCACACAAACTAAATAGGTGTAAATTAAAAAACTAATTGAGGCCCTATTTTCACAATCTATTATAAGATATGTTATTGAAGGATTAATGTTAGTTAATATAGTTAGTTAATAATAGTAATATAGAAGTTATGGCTTTTACTTCTTATATTAATGACATTTTGTTTCTGTATTGCTAAAATAATGTTGCTGTAATGAAGAAAACTAAGTTAAAACTTCAGATAGGGACTGGGTATGATGGTGCATGCCTTTAAGTCCAATACTTGGGAGGTAGAAGCAGGTGGATCTCTGAGTTGGAGGCCAGCCTTGTCTACACAGACAAACCCTGTTCCAAAAAACCTTCAGATAGGTGCTAGAGAAATGGCTTAGTGGGTAAATATGCCTGTTGACAAGCCTGACAACCTGAGTTTGATACCCAGGACCCAAATGGTGGGCTGTAATCGGTTTTTTTTCTTCTTTGGGGATCTTTTCCCTAGGGAGTCACATGCCTTTAATACCAGCACTAGAGAGGAATGAATATAAGGTGGGATGAGACAGTTCTATCTCAGTTTGAGGGTTTCTTAGAGGCAAGTGCTCTCTAGTGGCTTGGATGCTTTGCTTTTCTTATCTTCAAGATTGAACCCTAATGTCTGTCTCTGGGTTTTTATTATTCATGTTACATTTGGAGCTCAATGTTTTGGGTATGAACTCATGAAAAAGCCATTTGCCTGATGCTTTTTAGCCAGTGGCACAGGCTGAACTGCATGTGCCCCCCCCCCCCAGGGCTGCACTTGGGACTCCAGCCCCACCTGACCAGGACTTTTTTTCTTTTATTCTCCAAGCCTCTCAGTCCCCTGTGTTTTTTCAGACAACCAGCTCTTTCTCTCTCCTCCCTTCCCTTCCTCCCTCTCTCTCTCTTTCTCCCTCTCTCCACCATGCATTGCTGGCTCTCCCTTAACCCCTTCTAGGTCTCCTGCCAAACTAAGTAGCTGCCTTGAAATCCAGTCAGAACTTTCTACATAGCAGCAATAAACCTCACGTCTTCAACATCCTTAGTAGATTTGGTAAGACACTTGGGAATTCTTAAAGGGAGGAATTAGTTCAAAGAGAGAAGTTTTTTTTTTTTAAACCACATTAAAAAATGGGAAAAACCATTATAATGAAGGGATTTGGGTCTCTGTATGATGATATGCTAGACAGATTAAAAATGGAATGATTAAATGAGAGGATATCTAATTTAGATGGGATTTATGTAATGTCAATTATAAACATTATCAGCTTTATCGTTTATTTCTTATCACTAAAAAAGTTAGCTAATCGAGTGCTAAGATACAGAAAAACCTAATAAAACAGATCATAGATATTCAAATCTAATTTAACGGAGAGCCAATTTCAGCATTGCATTATAAGAATAGAGAGAATCAGCCTAACATCTTCAGACAACCAACCTTAATATATCCAGTAAGCTTACAGGAATTGCCAAATGGCAGCGGCTATATCACAGCTAATTAGACTCCTGTGCCAGCATTAGATTTAAGGATATTCTAGGAAGCAATAGTCTCACATGGCTTGCATTCACCTTGGGGTCAGTTTGTAATAGAGTTATTCCTAATGACTAAATAGATATGGAAAAGATGTTTTAGAGCCTGGTCCACAATTACAGTGGAGTACCTGGTTCAGATAAGAGGCTAAGATTATTGAACAACAGACTAAAGCTAAAGATAGGGATATTTCCCAAGATCAAATTCATGGAGAAAGAGACTACGCTATTATAGAAAGGCACCCTGGATTTATGCCGTGCAGCAGCTTTGAATGCTTGGGACACAATTGGAGAAATAGGAAAGAAAATTGAGTGATTTACTAAAGTTATACAGGTCCAAAGAAGCCTTTACCGATTTCTTACAAAGATTGACTTCAGCAGTAAATAGAATGATACCAAGTTCAGAAACTAGACAAATCATAATTAAATCTCTGGCTTTTGAAAATGCTATTAAAGGCAAGGTCAGCACCTTTGTTGGAATGGTTTTGAGATATAATTAATACTGAATCTCATGGACATGATAATGCATGGATAGGAGAGATGGTTTCCAGAGGTTTGAGGAAAAAATGAAATATCAAATGTTATAATTGTGGCAAATAAGGTCACCTTAAAAGAGATTTTAAACAGGGTATTCCTAGAAACAATATTTTTTTCTATAGATAGTTATTCCCCAAACTTATGGAGTATGTAGAAGGTACGGGAAAGGAAGGCATTGGACTAATGAATGTAGGTCAAGGAGGAATATTCTTGGTAGTTCTTTGTCATCAGGAAACTCCATGAGCAGCCTCTTGCAGGCCCCTATGCCTAATCCAGTTCAGTCATTTCCTGCCATCATAAAGGAAACTCCTTTCCATTAAAAAAAAACCCTAATATTTATTGTAAGAAACCATAGTGCTCTGGATAATAGAACAACTATAGAAGAAATAAAAAATTCAGGAGAAACCATAAAGGGAGTATTTTAGCAAACTTCTCTAAATGAACAAAGACCAAAATTTAAAATATGAATAAATGACATGTTATTGAAGTCTGTTAGACACAGGTGCAGATATAATAATAATTCCATCAGAATCTTGACATCCAAATTGGTCTCTTTAGGATGTAAATGTTTAGTTTTTAGGGACTGGAACTTTATCTCAGGTAAAGCAGAATACAAGATGGCTTGAATGTATAGGACCAGAAGAACAGAGAGGAATAATAAAACCATATGTAGCTAACATAACAATGAATTTGTGGGGGCATGATTTGTTACAGCAATGGAATACTCAGATTAACATTCCCCCAATATTAGAATCAAACCATAAATTAATGTATGTTTCTGGGAAAAATATTACAAGATATTATAAAGAACAGTCACCAACTATTCAGTTTGTACAACAAAAACGGCACAACAGCTGCTGATATTTCAAAGGCACCAACAGTCCAACCTTTAAAATGGTTGACAGACAAACCTGTATGGGTTGAGCAATGACCTTTAACAATAGGGAAATTGCAGGCTTTAGAACAGCTGATACAGGAGCAACCAGATGCTTGCATATTGAAGAATCAACCAACCCTTGGAATTCTCCTGTATTTTTTGTTAAAAAGAAATCTGGAAAATGAAGATCAAAGAACTCCTTTTTTTTTTTTTGTATTTTTGAGACAGGGTTTCTTTGTAGCTTTTTGGTTCTTGTCCTGGAACTAACTCTTGTAGACCAGGCTGACCTCGAACTCACAGAGATCCACCTGCCTCTGCCGCCCAAATGCTGGGATTAAAGGCATGCGCCACCACTGCCTGGCCAAAGAACTCTTTACAAGGTGATTCAGTTAATGGGCTGTCTACTGTCTGGCATTCCTT